TGCTCATCAAACAAATAATTTAGGGGTGGTTTAGGAAAGGCAGGACTGGGTCCCCCAAGGGAAGAGTCACCATGCACATTAGCATGTTAAAGACTCAAAGGAGTCCTGAAATGAAGACACCTTAATCTAGTGTGTGCCAAGCTGACTGGTCCCTGTTTGCCTTTGCAATTTACTGCTTCCACGCTCAGAGCTAATCTGCTGCAGATTCAGGCCAGCCTGTAGGAAGGTCTTCCATTTTCACTTTTTTTTTTTTAATTTTTAAATTTTTTTTATTTGAACATGGACACAATACCTTTGTTTTACTTATTTATTTATTTTATGCAGTGCTGATTATGGAACCCAGTGCCTCACATGTTCAAGGCAAGCGCTCTACCACTGAGCCACAACCTCAGGCCCCCTGTTTTCACTTTTTCAATCAAGCCCCTATCTCTCACCATGCACAAAACTCAACTCAAAGTGGAGCAAGGACCTAGGAATTAGACCAGAGACCCTGCGCCTAATAGAAGAAAAAGTAGGGCCAAATCTGCATCATGTTGGATTAGGCCCCAGTTCCTTAATAAGACTCCTAAAGCACAAGAAATAAAATCAAGAATCAATAAATGGAATGGATTCAAACTAAAAAGCTTCTTCACAGCAAAAGAAACAATGAGGTGAAGAGAGGGCCTACAGTATGGGAGCAAATTTTTAGCACATGCACATCAGATAGAGCACTATCTTCAGGATATATAAAGAACTTAAAAAACAGCACCAGAAAAACAAACAACTCAATCAAAAAATGGGCTAAGGCTGAACAGACACTTCTCAGAAGAAGATATACAATCGATCAACAAATATATGAAAAAAAATGCTCAACATCTCTAGTAATTAGAGAAATGTAAATTAAAACTATTCTAAGATTTCATTTCACTCCAGTCAGAATGGCAGTTACCAAGAATACAAACAACAGTAAGTGTTGGCGAGGATGTGGGGGAAAAGGCACACTCAGACATTGCTGGTAGGAATGCAAATTGGTGCCACCAATCTGGAAAGTATTATGGAGATTCCTTTAAAGACTTGGAATAGAACCACCTTTTGACCCAGCATACTACAGGGACACAGTCACATCAATGTTTATAGTAGCATAATTCACAATAGCCAAATTGTGGATGCAACCTAGATGCCCTTCAATAGATGAATAGAAATGAAACTGTGGTATATATACACAGTGGAATATTACTCAGCAATAAAAGAGAATAAAATTATGGCATTTGCATGTAATGGATGGAGTTGGAGAATATCATGCTAAGTGAAGTAAGCCAATCCCTAAAAAACAAGGCCAAATGTTTTCTCTGATAAGTGGATGCTAATCTATAATGGTGGGGAGGCATGGGATGAATGAAAGAACTTTGGATTGGTCAAAGGGAAGGGCGGGGAGGGGGCATGGGGATAGAAAGACAGCGGAATGAGATGGACATCATTACCCTAGGTACAGGTATGGTTGCACGGATGATGTGACCCTACTTGGTGTGCAACCAGAGAAGTGAAAAATTTTTGCTCTATTTGTATACAAGGAATTGAAAAACATTCTGCTGTCAGATATAACTGATTAGCACAAAAATATATACACACACATATATATTTAGAAAATGGATATACCCTACTTAGACCTAAGACAATGACAAAGAGCTGCACACCTATTACATATCTTTTATTTACTAACCAAGGGAAAATGAGAGCCAGAGAGGAATGTCACATGTCAGACTGGCACAGCAACTTGGTGGCAAAGCCAGGACCAGCCTTATCCTGTGACCCAACATAAACAATACAGCTCTACATGTAATAACCTACTTTTTAAAAACAAAAACATACACAAGATGTACAAAGAAATTCTGCATGATCTCTGCCTTATTTCCAGGGTTCCACTGTGTCTTCTGCTTTTTTTTTTTTTTTTTTTTTTTTACAAATAACTGTTTCTCTGCCCAGTGTGGTGGCACATGCCTATAATACCAGCAACTCAGAAGGAACACAGGTTTGAGGCCAGTCTTGGCAATTTCGCAAACCCTATCTCAAAATAAAAAAAAATAAAATAAAAAGGGCTGGGGTTGTAGCTCAGTGGTAAAGTGCCCTTGGGTTCAATCCCTAGTACTTCAAAATAAATAAATAAATAAAACAAAAGGTTTTCTGCATGTGGTAAGATGTTTCATCATTTGGGGACTTAGGTGTTTGTGGAATAAGTCTTAAATCCAAGGGAAATTCTGCACATCATTTTATTTATGCATTAATGCATGCACACTTGACCCATCCCATGCACAGAGAGGCTCTAAGGTAAATAGGAAAGAATTACTGAACAATATGACCCTAGACCCATGCTGTCCAATAGAGTGGTCACTAGCCATATGCAGATATTTAAATTTGTCCATTCAGGGGCTGAGGTTGTGGCTCAGTGGTAAAGTGCTTGCCTGGTACATGTGAGGCACTGGGTTCAATCCTCAGCACCACATAAAATATAAATAAATAAATAAAATAAAACAACATCTATAACTAAAAAATATATTTTTAAAATTTGTCCATTAGATTTATTAAAATAAAATGCAGTTTTTCAACTGGGCATGGTGGAACATGCCTATAATCCCAGCGGCGTGAGAGGCTGAGACAGGAGGATAAAAAGTTCAAAACCAGCCTCAGCAACTTAATGAGGCCCTAAGCAACTCAGTGAGACCTTGTTTCCAAATAAAATATTAAAAAGGGCTGGGGATGTGGTTTAGTGGTTAAGTGCCCCTAAGTTCAATCCCTAGTACCAAAAAACAAAACAAAAAAAAATACAGTTTTTCAACTGCTCTAGTCAGGTCAGGTTCTCAATAGCCACACGTGGCTGCCATGTTGGAGAGTACAAATCTAATATGGATCATCATCACAGTCAGTTCAGCTGGGCTGCGTTGCTATGGACTCACACAGACATTTTATCCATAGCAACCCTGGGTATAGGTCTCCTTGCTGCATTGTCTTCAGGGCAATAGATAATCCTGATTTTCACCAAAGAGCAGGAAACTTTGCTGAATGAGAGCACAAACCGATCATCAAAATGTAACTGTACCTCCCAGATTCTGAAAGACAGAGATCATGGAATAACCTAAAGCATACCAGTAAGAGGCAGACAAAGCAACGGCAATATGTCTTATTTATTGCCTGCCTCCAAGTTCTAACTTAAACTACCATCCCCATCCAACGGACCACGCAACCTCAAGATGTGAGCATTTCTGCTAGCTGGTTGTTTTGGGGGTAACCTCTTTTACTACATTTACCTTGATAAATAGCCACTATTTACCTAGAATCAGATTACTTTGTCTTTATAACCCTGTAGTTAGCTTTTGGATCATCTGATCAATAAGCATGCTTGATTTCTTTTCAACAGCTATTCAGTAACTGTTTCCTCAGCCCCAAGTTGGCAATATTACTCCCAAAGTCAATATCTTTGCCTCCTCCCTCCCTCCCTTCCTTCCTTCCATAGACTTTATTTTTTAGTTTGAAGTTCACAACAAAATCAAGGCAGAAATACATCCACCATCAATACCCCCCACCAGAATGGTACCTCTGCCACCCCTGAAGAACCCGTGCTGACACATCAGTGTCAACCCAATGATTGTATTAGGGTTCACCCAATGATCATATTAGTGTGGCACTTTCTAGGGATTTGGACAATATGTGGCGACATGTATCCACCATTACTGTACACCAAATAGTGTTCCCGCCCTAAAAATCCTGTATTCCACCCATTCTTCCCTCCCTCCTCCCAAACCCCCAGCAACTTTTTTCTTTAAGAACTCCATTCCCTTCCCACACATTCCTAAACCCAGCTGCTGCTGCTGTGGTTTCCATCTTCCAACTGCAAGGACTGAAGTCCAAATCCATCCAGGCTCCTCCTCTGCCATTGCAGAGCAGCTCGGTGGCAGATGCGGCTCTGGGCGCTGAATGCTGGCTTTGCTCTGGCTCAGGGCTCTGGCTCGTGGGCAGACTCCAGAGTCCTCCCCCACCATGACCTCATCCTCCCTACTGCGCGGCCTCCCAGCCAGACCCCGGCTGCAGGAGCATCACCACTGCCGATTCTGTTCTGGGATTCGGATGTTTATTCTTTTCTCAGGAT